TACCAAAGCCGCTACTGGTAAGTGACGTGCACCCTTTAAGGTTGAATTGATTGCCTCTGCCAAGTTGGTCGTCATGTGTCCATATCGATATCCACCATCATATGCGTTCGTCCATATTTCTTTATCGATGAGGCTGATGTAATCATATCCTTCCTCGTTCTTCGCCCGCAACTTTTGAAACATTGATTCAAACGTTCGAGGAAGTAGTTCGTAACCTGATCAAAAAATATATAACTTACTAACTTGTTGTCTTTGCAAAATTAAAACGATCGAAAGAAAACAAACTTGCTAAGTTTCACTTACCCATGCGCACAATTAATTGACGCTCATATTCTTCTTGTACCTTCCATGGTAGTTCGCGGCAATGTGTCGAGGACAATACCTATGTTGGACAAAGGGTGGTTGCCACATTGGACTCAAAGACTCCATTACTGATTTGATCCCAGCTCCGCGATCTGAAATGACACAGATGTTTTCCCTCGTGATAACATGTGCCCGTAAATTTCGGAGGAAAAAATCCCAAGAAGCTGTATCTTCTCCTTTGACAAGAGCAAAAGCAACTGGAATAATGTTGTGATTGCCATCTTGGACAACTGCCAATAATAAAACTTGCTTGTATTTTCCATACAAGAAAGTCCCGTCGATTTGGACCACAGGCTTGCAGTATTTGACAGAATTAACGCACTGTGGGTAACTCCAAAAAACCCGATAGAATTGGCATCGATCGCGAAGAACTCGATCATTATGGTATGCATAGGAGGTTTCGAAGTCCACAATTATCTCAAGATTCAACGTTCACACTAGCCTAAACCAACCTGGAAGTTCGTTGTAAGATGCATCCCATTCTCCATGAAGTTTGACAATGGCATTTTGTTTTGCCAACCAAGCTTTTTTATAGGAGACAATGTACCCATACTACGATTGTATAGCTGAAATCAACACTGCAACAGCTATATGAGAGCTTGCTTTGACCATGGGCATGATAGCTTGGCATATCACTTCAGAGTCCAAGTTGGGATGATCTTGGTTGACCCCTCCAGCACAACATGTGTGAGGACCGTTGTATACTGTTAGTTCTCATCTGTTGTTTTTCCTCTTCCTCTTCGATACGCGAACCATCCAATTGCATCCGTTTTCGCGCTGGGCACAGTAGCATACATATTTTTCTGTCGTGGAGCGGTCTACTCTGGACTGAACATAATTACGGATATTGTAATTTTTTATAGCCATCATCGCTTCTTCTTTGCTTGAAAACTCCATGCCTAAAGATAACTCACCATTATTTATTGATGAGTAATACCCATAGTCACCGAGATGAGGCATATCCGCAAATTTTGGCCCGTACATTGCACCATAATCAGCTTCATACATGTGTGCAGGAGGGTCAGTTTGTGCCACATTTCCTGGAATTTCATCATCATCGGAGTTGAATTGCGGTGATTCTGGGTCAATGAATAGTCCAGTCTCAGCACCATCCGCACCAGGCTCACGAAGCGGTTCTTCTGGTGGAGATGATGGTTCCTCCATGCTCTCCACATTTAGGTCGAAGAACCTAATACTTGCATGCCTTCCCCTTGAACTGGAAGGCATATCGACATTGAGATCGAAAAAGCTCGCAGTCGAATGCCTCCCCTAGAGCTTGAAGCCATCGCGTCAAATGGAAACTGCACAGATGGTTGCGTCGATGGCATCTCCATATTAAGGTCAAAGGGATTTGCAGATGAATGTCTCCCCTTGAACTGGACACGATGTTGCCATACGGATTGTTCGTCGACCTACCTCGGTACATATCGTAAGGAGTTGCGGATGAATGTCTCCCCATTATGGCATTAAAATTATTATACATTACTGTCGTCGGACTGTCAACTTGATCAACTTGTTCAGTCAGCCCATAGTGGGAGCTTAATGATTGACCCCGAACAACACGCACTTGAACAAAATGTGCAATCTCAATAGCGGCGTCTGAATAATTACTTTGAGCTTCAACTATCATTTCAACATCATCATTGTTCGAAAGTTCGAACGCTGTATAAGTTAATGGCAACAATGATGTTGAAAATCTATACTGCAACGACGACACTCTTCTACTACTTCCAACATGAATCTTCCTCGAAATCTTCGTTCAGCTCCTCAAGAGTTATGTTTCTCTTGAAGATATTTTAACATGCTCATTTGATACGAAAACAACGACGGTTTATCTTCTCGAATTCACCATCATAAAAACAATAGCTGAAAGTGGCGCCATTATTGAGTTTAAAGTGCGGCACTATATATCTGCAAAAAAAAATAAATGAAACAAACCTGATTTAATAAATTATATATGAACGAACATAACATAAAATTTTACACATCAACGTAAATAAATTAAATAATATAATTTAATATTATTACCTGCACCGCAAAACTATTCGACGTATGCTCCCGCTTTCCAATTTTACAAACACAAAAATTAATTAAAATAATTAGTATAATATTTTTTCAAATAATCATAATAACAATAATATAATAAAAAATTATATCAAAATTGTTTTAGATATGAGTATCTACACTATATCGAGTCCAAATTGTACGGTAATAATCAACAACTGCTGTACAAAACAATTAAAAATAGTAGCTACTATATAAAATATCAAATGAATGTTAAGAAGATGGCTAGGAATTCCAAGGCCAAGATGAGACAATTATATGGACAAAGCAACTCTAAAAGAGCTTCATGAATGTCATCAACATTGGAGACTTTATATTCACCTACGACTACGGATTCAACATTTGCGCCCTTTTGGGGTCATCGATCAAGAGAAGGAACTCCCGGGATGACCATCAAGCCCTTTCTTGCTTAGATCAACCTCAATCCAGGGAAAGGGTATAGTTGCTCAACCATCTGCTAGAAACTTTGCAGGAAGGTTTCAGCCCATGCCTTCATCAATGAGGCGTCATCCACAGAAATTAAAAAACGATACTAAAACTCAAATTACAGGACTTTGCAAATGCTACAATGCTGGTCCTAATTCTCTTCGCTAAACCGACCCAGCATGGACAGACCACTCGTGTCAGATACGCTGTTTGCTCCATTAACGGATATGCTTAGTATGGTCGTAAGAGTAACAAATAAAGAAAATAATGATATGAATGTAAATGGAAGAAAGTCGGGCGGGAAGAAGAAATTGTACATTAAATAGAACTCAAATAAATATTTTGGTGCAACATGGTGAAAATGAATTTATTGTGCTAAATTTAGTCAATAAAACATTTAAACGTAGCAATGGGATAAAAAAGGGTTTGAATTGTCAAAGTTTGGCAAATTATATAAAGCTTGGTTAGTTTTTGGAATGCAAAACAATGAAATCTAATACAGATCATTTTCTGGAATTTTTTTTTCAATGAAACATGGACAAAAAATGCACAAGAACTGCAATAAATAAGTGAACGGAGATTTTTCAAAGTGTACACTGAACTATTGCAGATGTATCGCATTCCATGACATATTATTTATAAATTCATCAATCAAGATTATATTTATACCTTGGTTTCTCCATGCTGAATTGAGCTTAACCTTTAGGGTAGTCTCTCCATCAGAAACTATATGGTAGGGGGGTTAGGCGATTGATCATCTATAAGTCCCCAGGCAATCTGAAGACCTTGTTTCATCAGGCCTTGTCTCCAAGATGAAAAAAAAAAAACAGGTTCTGGGGAAAAAGAAATTCCAAGTATCAAGAGATACTTTGGGTTTGATGTTGAGATCGATGGCCCATATTCGCGAGCAACTTTGACAAGGCAGCTTCCTACTCGGAAGCTGGCAAAGAGATGAATTTCTAATGGCGAATGTTAGGAGATTTCTTTGTAGATGAGAAACGTGGGTATTTTAGTCTTTATTGTTTCAATCACTTGAATTTGTGAAATTTGACTATTTTCATATGCAAGGGCAAGGATTGGAAAGCTTTCAAAAAAAGAAAGATAAAACTATAAGTTGTTCAAACCTAAGCAATACCAGTTTAAACAGTTCCGCGAGAACCCCTTAGTTTAAGGGTCTTTCGGATTGGGAAAACAATCGGCATGGTCAAGCAACAAGGCATTGTGCCAGCAGCCTGTAAAGAATAAAGAACTATAACAGGACCAGCTAGTTTGGTTCTGAAGGCATACAATTTCTTATATCTTGTTAGGTGTTAATCATCAGCTGTAAAAACAGACCTAAAGGGGATGAAATTGCAACATGTATCGCAAATACGATTAAGAAAATGACAGTGCTTGCAAGAATTATTTGTTAATAAACACGTGCAGGATAATCAAATCAATATCAAGGTATTAAAGCTAACATATAGAGGGTAATTCACACATGAGTATTCACATTATGTGTGACCAATACCATCATCAAGACGTACCTGAAGCAAAATGGTAAAGTGAAAACTTATTACCTGGAAACATAGCTCCATAGTAATAGTTGGTAATTCCCAACCAGAGCTTTTCGATTTTCTGATAATGCATGTGAGAAGTGAGATTGCATGTAATGTCTCCAACAAGTTGATGCTAGAGAAAGCTGCAATACCCTAAAGTAGTTCCTAGGCACATTATTAAGACTTTTGAAACAGATTTGTTTCCTTCAGAGTATATCAATAAGGTAAACTTCTAAACATAAACCTGTACATCTTCCTCAAGACTTCTACCAAACAGCAACCAGGGAGGGAAAATTAGCAAATTAGCTTCCGGGAAAAATGGCTAATGGTCGAACCTAGTAAATTACATAAATCCGGTCCAAGTATGGAAGGACATGGAAAAGCTCAATGTACAGGTAAGAAACAAAAAATAGCTTGTCAAACGATTAAGGAACAAAATGTTTGAAATTCATACTTGATCATATCGACAACAATGAGGAGGAAGATCATAAAGATTTGAGCGGCCACAGTTGCAATTTCTCAAATTCTCATTTTTTTCCTGGCCAATTTCTTAGATGTATCATTATCGTAATACATTAAACCAGAAAACGTCGTTAGATTATCCTTTTACATGTAAGATTAAATAGAAATCTTGAAATTAATATGGAGTACATCAAGAAAAGCTCGTTCTTCTCTAAGACTATAAAAGCAATAGCTCCAAAGAATAAAATATGGTTAAAATAGATGCTGCAACTTATATGCCTAACAAAAAAAATTGAACTTCCCCAAAACAAAGGACTTCCAACAAAATTCAGAAACTCCTACCTTTCAGAAAAAGTGGTAATTAGATGTAACAGTCAGACCGAAGCACAAGAGCCAGGGTTCTGGAATTTCCATCTACTACATAAGCAACACCTGGCTTCAAGCTAAATCTCTTACCCAGGTTAAGTTTCACATATGATTCAATCTGATAGTGGTCCCAATTTCTGGGACCTTTAACGGTGCCCCCAACACTCACACCCCAACCAAATACATCCTCCGAAGAATCAGACAAATTAACAGCCCATTGTAAAACTCTAGGATTTGCTAGTTTCATCTCAATCCAACCTCCAAGTCTTTGGTATTCATCAAGTTCTGACTCCAGCTTCAGGGCAATAGATCCATCTGGGGTGTTTGTTGTCAAAGGCAGAAGAGGCGCCTCGATCACTGTATCAGAATCTTCAACATGACTAGACAAGCCAAGTGGAATCGCATGGGCTCCAAGGCGGAAATTACGACTTACCAATTTAGGCCCTCGGCGAAGGCCTAAAAGCGAGAGTTTCAATCTTATCGGAAGTTGACAAACGACTTGTCCAAAAGTACAGAAGCAATGCTCATCATTTCCCATTCCACATACCGATTGAGCAAACGAAGCAATTATATTCGACCTTCTCATTGCCACCCCAATAGCACCTCCACTATGCTGATGCAATAGAGGTGGTCCCAATGATAATGATAAATCAGTGAGGCCCTTGTCATCCTAGACAACAAATAAAATCCATTTCAGAACAACAACTAAACGCTCATATATCAATTAATGGAATCCAACCAAGAGTGAAAGTAAAATTCAAACAGACAAATGGAATCTACTGAGATTACATAAAATACACGGTTTCCACAGTTCAACCAAAACTATTCTCAACATTATAACTTACAAGCAAACAAAAACTAACAGTGAGCTCCTATAAGAAATTTCAATGGTATTAGGATTAGTTACCTGAAGGGAGAATTCCGAGGCAACATCCAAATCTCTAAACTGAGCTCCAAATGGAATTACCATAGCAGAAAACCAATCACCGGTATTTCCTTTATAAAACAACTTAGATAGCGTAAGTGGGGTTCCATATACATCTCCAACGTTATCTCCAATCCCCTTCTGATTAGCCATAAATTCAACCCCCAAGGTATCTTTATCACCAAAGGTCGTTTCGAATCGAAACTTGGAATTGACCCTAGTTATGAATTCCGTCCGACCAACCCCGTCCCAATGTCCGTCGTCAGCATTTGACATTAGCAATACGGCCGCCATGAAATCAACTTCCCCTCTCAAAAGGGTATTCGATCCTTGTAATGGATTCCCTTTCGATGCTTTGTAAAACGAAAGTAAACGTTCGACTCTGTCTTGTCGTTCTCGGAGCTTCATCAGGTCTGAAAATGATTCTCGTTGCACCTTTTCAGGATTTCAATCTTTAAAAGAAAAACTAGAATCAATAAGAAGAAGAAGAAAAGGTACCCAGAAAAGAACATAGAGAAAAGGAGAATGCATTACCGGACTGCGGCGAGATGAGTAATCACGGCCTTTAATGAAGTCGTTGACGAACTCCTTTATTTTCTCCACCCCAGAAACTATGGGATTCATTTCCTCGAAGCCTTTCTGTTGTTTTCGAGTGTTTTGGATGGACCGGTGGAGAAGGGATTTTGATTCCGTTATTTCAAAAGAGGGACCGGCCACATTTATTTGTGGGCTTTATTGGCTCCGTTATTTCAAAGTGAAGGAACCGGTTAAAAAAATTATTATTAAAAAGGCTTAAATGCATCTTCAATTTACTATTTGTACCAAACTATTTTTTAAAATATTTTTAAGGAAATTTTATCTTTTTAATTTTAAATCGTTATCTTCATTCAAATAAATAAATAAAAAATCAATTAATAAATAAAATTATATAATATGTCAAAATGACCCTCCTCTCCTCTACAGTCCACCTTCCCTTCCCCAAACAACAACACCTCTTTTTCTTCTTTTCTATCAATCTTGCTCTTTAGTGGCTTCAGAAAAGGACCATCCAAGAAAATATCAAAAATTTTCTCGCAATCCAAACACTGCTAAAGCTTTGATTTTTCGTATGGATATTTCCCACTTAACTCCTCCTTCCAAACCCCAGAAACCCTTTCCCCCTATTCCTTCATTACGAGGGGTTTGATTCAGAAAAAATGCGATCTTGCCTTGAATCAAGATAACCATAGCTTTGCCATGGATGAAGGTGAAGAAGAATCTTTTGATGGTTTGATGCTTTGCGACTCTAATTCAAGGTTGATCTCATCTGGGTTTTCAAATCTATAATCACGAGTAAGTAAAATTTCTTGATTTATTTTTCTTGTTAAGCTCGTAACAATTGAATTAATAATAGAACCTGTGAAAAAAGGAAAAATTCATTTTCGAGCCATGTTTTCGAAAAAGGAAGGCTTTTGGTGATTCAATTAACATGGATTTTTTAAAATCATTTTAAGCATATAAAGGATTCAGGAAGTGTATGAGATAATACAAAAGGAATCGAATTTTATCCCGATACTCAACCCGACCTGATATTATTCAAACCTAACTCGACCCGAACTTAGTCGGATTTCGGGTTTCCTTCTAGGATTCGGGTCATTTTGCCATTCTTAAAATGATATAGTTCATGGGCTAATAGGAAATTTAAGCCTTAAATTAAATAATAATCTCAAATATGATTTTCAAATATTAATAAAATAAAATAATAATGATACCAATTTAAAAGTAAAAGCAAATTGAAAATAAAGAATGAATCAATGTATAAAAAAAATGATTGAAGCCGCTAAATTTACTAAAAATGTAAAGTATCTAAATTTTAATTTGGATATTAAAATTAATTATGGACCATGAATATTTTTCCATCTCATGATAAGTTAATTATACTAATCAAAGTATAGTTTTAAACTATTTTTGCCTTGTGTATAAATTAATTACGACAACAGCCGACATTAATTATTGTTTGAAATAATTCCTTATAGAATAACTCTTCATAATTTTATAATTGAGAAAGATCCGACTCAAATCAATAGACTCAACTCAATGTATCATTTTGTTTATATTATTTGTTCTTTCTAATAAAAATGATGGATTATGATTTAAATATTGATAATATAAAAAACTATGAATTTACGTTGCATCTCATTCTCATATAAATAAACACGTAGAGAATTTCGAGTTTAAATCATCTACAAATAGTTTCTCCAATGAAAAGCTTCATCTCTGCTCCCTGCATTTCTTTGAATTTGTTTAGCCTTTCTCGATAGCTCCCAAGCCTTCTAACCGGAACCAGCCGCCAAATGCCGGAGCCCAAAAATCGGCGCCATTATCGTTGTCGACATGAAGCGTGCATGGCAAGGGGACCAAACATAGCCCTCTACTCATCAAGTCCTTTGGTTCTTCATGACTTTCCTATATATACGAGAGAAAGTGAAATTTGTTGTTTCCATTTTTTTTTATTATAATGCAATGCAAGTGTGTTTTTTTATAAAAGAAAATGGAAAGTACTAAGAAATTTTAAAATTATGTAGTATTAATTTAGTTGTCAAGATTACCTGCTGATTAGGACCACCTTTCCTCTTCATGGAGTTTTCAGTCAACAGCTGCACAAATTAAAAGAGAATTAGAATTTTCATTTTTTTTTTTTCAACCTAAAGCATTTTAATTAATTAATTAAAAGAGTTTATTTTAATTAAGAGTATAGGTAAGCTATTAAGCTAAGAACATTGTTCTTTTAGAACTATCTTTAATTGTTTTCTGCAGGAAATAAATAGGGTTGAGTACAAGAGGGGACGGTTAGTGACCTAAAAAGTATAGATTTTCATTTGATTTAATTCAATCCCAATATTGGATGATGTGCTACCATCGCAAGTTCATCTCAAATTTGGGATAAAAACTTCATCCCACACAAAATAATAAATATAATTAAAAATATATAAAAATTTTATAGTAAATATTTGATGGTGATCTCCCTCCCTCCCTCCCTCTCTCTCTCTATGTATATATATTATAAACCGATCTAGGATTTTTTTTATCTAATTTTGACTTTGATTTATTTCGACTTGTCTAGAACTTATTTTTATATATAAAAAATTTGATTCTATAAAATCAAATCGAATCAAAAACTAATAGATCTGCAATTTATAAATCAAAATTATGGCTTAAGCAAGATATGAGCTTCCATTTTTTTTTTAGGGTTCTTGCCTTGCATTCTCTCGCCCGACTTGGCTATCTCTAAGGTTTATGCCTTTTTTCTGCTATTGTACTTTTCTAGTTTTGTCTAACATTTAGTGAACTTACAAAGAAGAAAAACGAAATCTTATCAAACAAGGCTATCGCAGAACTAGAGAATTTTATGGAGGAACTAAATTTAGGGGGGAAAAGAGGAAGCCATACCAATCGAATTACAATTAATAGAGGGGATTATCGTTTGAAAATTGTTTCGTGCCATGAGAACAATGCTGGCTAATGTGGCACCTTATAGAGAGAATTTCTATCACCGAATTAGGCGTCAATCTATACCTGTTTCGGTTATATCACATAGTATATGCGGATAGAATAAAAAACGAGGGGCCATGGTATTTCAACTCACATGTTTTACTGATGCACAAATTTAATCAAGGAGAAGATCCCATGCAGGTTCCACTGCACAGCGTGGATTTTGGGTACAAATTAATGATCAACCAAGTTGTTTTATCTCAGAACAGATGGCACGAATATTGGGAAAGTTTATTGCACAGTAATCTCTTCGATCTTTCTCAAATACTCACATTGACATTGAAATTGAAGACCTTACTGATCTTAAGTGGAGGTGCATCGGATTTTATGGAGTGCCAGAGGAAAACAAAGAAATATGGATTTTTTTGCGTCAACTCAAGGATGATCAGCAATAACTTGGTTGGTTTTCAGAGATTTTAATAAGATTCTCTATTCACATTAGAAAACTAGGAGGAAAACCGAAACGAAAAACAGATGATCGATTTTAGACGAGCTTTAGAAGATTGTGAACTAGAATATTTAGGCTATAATGGTATTTGGTATACGTAGGAAAGGGGGAGAAGGGCTAAAAACAACATTTTCCAAAGGTTAGATAGAGGAGTGGAAAACAATACTTAGTGGTCCATGTTTCCAAGGTTCAAGTTGACTCATTTACCACACACATTTTCAGATCATTGTCATTTACAAATAGACACATCGATAGAGAATAGATGACCGTCATTGGCATTTCAAGTTTGGCGCTCTGTGGCTACTGGAGAAACATGTGAATAGGAGGAAAAATAGTTATGTTACTCAAGTCTAGGTATGATCCCAAAAAAGGGGATTGAGTATGAGTGGGCCTAGATGAATGGTTCAAAGAGATTCGAAGAAAGAAGGGAATAACGGGAAAGGATTTAAAGCGTAGACTAAAGGAACTAACAGAATCAGAACCGATAGAGGATAATTTGAGAGATATATTAGACGTAAGGCTACAGCTGAACATGGAGATGGGTAAGTTAAAAATTTATTGGGGGCAAACAGTGAGGGAAAATTGGATGCGGAATGGCGACAACAACACAACATTCTTCCACCGTTATACATCCTAGAGAAAAAGATAAATTCGCATCATAACTTTGAAAACGATGAAGGGGTCACATGCGATGACGAGCACACCATCCAGAACCTTGCAAAAATTACTGCAGAGTCGACAAGGGAAGCAGCAAGAATTACTGCTGACATTGAACCATGTATTACTACGAACATGAACGACCATTTATTAGACCATTTACTTGGGAAGAGGTTTACAAAGCGGTCCACTCAACGAGTCTACTAAAGCCTCATGGGAGGATGGACTAAGAGCGGTTCTTTATAATGGCTTTGGCACTTATGGGTAAGGAAGTAACAGAGTATTGTATTGATCTTCTAAATGGAACACGTGGTATAAAAGGCGTAAATCGGACCCACTAGTCTTGATTCCCAAAGTTAGCAACCCTATCCAAATGGCACAATTTAGGCCAATTAATATCTGCAACGTCCTCTACAAGATAATCTCAAAGATGTTAGTGAACTGAATGCAAGATTTCCTCCATCTGTTTGTTGATGAAGCTCAAAGCGCGTTTGGATGAGGGAGATTGATCACAAACAACATAATTACAATATATGAATTAATTCACTCGTTCACGGAGAAAAAGGAAGGCCGAAGGGGATTCTTTGTCTTAAAATTAGACATGAGTAAGGCCTACATAGAGTAGAATGGAATTTTGTCCGGAAGATGATAGAAAAAATGGGCTTTTCAAGAGAATGGGTGAAAATTTTAACTAGATGGTTTCGTATGCGGTGGTAAAGAAGGGATAATAGGTTTAAGACAAGGCGATCCACTAAGCCTGTATCTTTTCTTTTGTATAGCGAAGGATTATCCACACTTTTCCGGAAAGAAAAGGTGGAGGGCACTTTACAAGGGGTAAATATTAATATATATGTTCTCACGATAACACACCTTTTATTTACAGATGATTGTTTGATTTTCGACGAGGTAAATACGAGAGTGGCAGGAAAGCTAAAAGAATTATTTGCATCTATGTTTAACTGCTCGAGCTAAGTAATCAACTTTGACAAATTTGGAGTGTTTTTTAGCATAAATATTATAGATTTGAATAGAAGTGACATGCGATGAATCTTGGAAGTAGAGAATTCATCGAACCCAGAGAAATACTTAGGATCATCGGCTATAGTGGGAAGGAATAAAAGCAAGGCGTTTGTAATAATGAGGAAAAGTTTTGGATAGAATAAACAACTAGAGCATCCGAACGCTTTTATAAGGAGGAAAAGAGATCTTTATAAAATCGATACTTCGAGCTCTACCGGTTTACATAATGAATTGTTTTCTACTCCTGAAGACTTTATGCATGGAATTAGAAAGAATAATGGAGCACTTTGGTGGCAAAAGTCTGAGAAAAAGTAAGGGAATTCATTGATGTTCATGGAACAACCTAAGTAAATTATGGAAGGGAGATGGGTTTTCATGACCTAGCAAAGTTCAACGTAACGCTTTAGCTAAGCAATGATGGAGAATTTTCAATCACCCAACTACGCTGGTAAGTAGACTGCTTCAAGTATTTCCACTGTACAAACTTTATGAATGCACGATTGAAAAATCAACCGTCATACATTTGGAAGAGCATTTGGAGTACGCGAGGATTATTAGAAAATAGAATCAGATGGAAAATCGGTAACAAAAAATCAATTTCCATTTGGAGAGACTATTGGCTCTCAAAATCACCACCGAAAAGAGTAGAAGCACCCCGACGAGAAGGAATAGAGATGGTTTTTGAGTTGATCAATCCAAACTCAAAGCAGTGGCAAAAAGATTAAAAAAATCCTAGTGGCTAGATTTGATTATGAACAGGTGTGAAGTGGAGAGTATTTGGGAATTTATACAGTAAGAAGTGGATACCAAATGTTGTTAGGGACGAAGACAAACACTGATACGGACCCAAACACACTCCGAGCAATATGGGATTGCACATGTAAAAGAAAAATTAGAATACAAGTTTGAAAACACTACTACAATTATGTCTCAACAAAAAAATACTCTACAACAAACACATCATCAACGATCCATACTGTACCTTATGTCCTAATATTCCAGAATCAAGTATCCATATACTCAGATTACGTTTTAGCCAGAACAGTATGAGAGAAACTACATTACCAGTGGCTATGGTAGAGTGCATAATGGAACTTCAAAGAGTGACTAAGTTGGGTGTTGGAGAACAATCCTCGAGAAAAACACATAGAGATATTAGTAAGTATTTGGGCACTTCGATGAGGTTAATTGAACAATTATTGTTCTCATCCCTAAGACTAACAACCCTGATTCTATGAAAAACTTCAGACCAATTAACCTTTGCTCGGTCATTTACAAAGTCATGTCTAAAGCTATCGTTAACCATCTTAAGTTTGTTATTTCTAAATGTGTCATCCTAAATCAATGTACTTTCATTCCTGGGAGAAGAATCTCTTATAACTTTCTGGTAGTACACGAGCTCATCCACTACCTTAAAAGTTCTAAGAACAGTCCTAACAAAGGGGCAGTCCTCAAATTAGATATAGAAAAAGCTGATGACAGGATGGAGTTAAACTTTGTCCTTAGGGTCATGGATCAAAAGGGCTTTGATAATAATTTCGTCTATCTGATTAGGAAATGTATTTGCTCTGTCTCTTTTAAATTAGGATAAATGATCAACTGTTAAAATGTATCACCTCGGAAAGATGACTCCGACAAGAAGATCCCATTTCCCCATATTTGTTCCTTTTTTGTGCGTAGGGTCTGTTTGCACTTCTTCTTAATGCACAACAGAAAGGGCTCATCAAAGGGGTGAGAGCCAGTGTGCGTGGTCTCAGAGTTACCCATCTTCTCTACGCAGATGACATCATGTTTTTCATCATGAACTCTCTGTCGAAAGCTCAACGGGTGAAGGACATTCTCAGTACATATGAATAATCCTCTAGACAAAGTCAATTACATCAAGTCCAACATCTTCTTTAGTACCAATACTCATCTGATCATTGGAGAAGCATCAAACAAGTTTTCGAAGTGGACGAAAAGGATGATCATGGATCGTAT